TACAGAGGGAAGGGAGTTTATGAGGTACAAATTTTGCAATCTTGCTTTTAATTGAACGTTTCACAGACAGCGGTTTATATTACCTTCGCGACATTTTAGGATAGGAATTGCGTGTGTAAATTTTCCTTCAGAACACACTCTAGGCAATAGAAAGGATTTTTAAGATAGAAGTGAGTCATGAAACGCTGAGCAAATTCGAAGGTGTTTTGAATCTCAATTCAAAACTTCTAAAAAGGGAGGATTTTGACAAGTTTTTTGTTTAACGTAAAGTCCTATGCCTGCGCGCAACGGATAGGTCTTTGCGACTTCATTTGATTTGTTTTAGCAATTCATCCTTTATACCGATTACCATGTTTGTACTTTGCCATTCCATTACAAACATGATATCATACATTTTGGTAAAATAAAAATGTTAAATCCTTTCTGTTGCTCTTCAAATCCCAAATGTAGTAAAGTTTTCCAACTACTTACTGATCACTTCTAAAAATGTTAACAGCACATCGTCGCCGTCTATGTCATTTGCAAACATTCAAAGTTGAATATTACAGAACTTTTGGTTGGCTTTGAGTAAGCCTTTTCTTCCCTGTTAACGAACTGACAGTTTCTTTAATTCTGATATGTACAATACAACTCCGTAAAAGGCATATCTTTTCATTATAAGCGCCCTGCGCTCTTAGTTTGGTGTATTGACCGCTTAATCCTTTGTAGTTGTCCTGCAAATAACAAACTCTTGTGCTTTTTTGTTTTTATATGGGCGCCAACAATGATGATACATCGATGACACAAACATATGCATACACGCATACTATCTATATGCACTATATGACATCAGAGGAAATCACGTTTTATCATATATTTATTCACATAGAAAATATACCGCTTATAACTCAAATTGTCAAGGTAGCAAAAAATGCATTTTGCTTGGTTCATCAGAAGGAATCACTCTTTTTTTTTACTATCTGTTCTTTATGTTTTAATACTAGCATCTAAAAGGTTTCGTTAAATAATTATAGACCCCTAAATTTTGTCTGGGCGTAGGTGCTTATTATGCAGATCTCAAAATATCCATCTACTTGCTACAAGGCCGCCTCACCGTGAAAATAGAAGATAAACAAATGATCAGCAACACGTACTAGTTCGAATTTTGCCTGGAGGCAGTATTTAATGTAAAGATTGCGAAAATCATATTTTCTTGTTGAAATTCATAAAACTGGCAATGTGTCTACACCTCATTTTCAGCACAGTTACAAAAATGGGGAAAAACCCGTGGGAGCCCATGCTGTCAAGATTATTGGGTGGGGCGAAGAAAGTCATAATGGAAAGAAAATCCTCTATTGGTTAATGGCGAACTCATGGGGCGAACGCTGGGGAGACAATGGTGAGTGTATCATCGAAAGGTGCTTGCAAAAAACAAAACGCATCAAGTTTTGCTTAGGACACTTCAAAATGGTGCGTGGAAAGAACAACTGTGGCATTGAACAAAACGTGACTGCTGGTCTACTGTAAATGACATATCTGCTCAGTTATACTTGTATAAATGTTTGAAGCAAGGATTTGTGTCAAAATATTAATATATGATCAACATGAACGCGCCTCTCATTATTAAGCATAACATCCCGTCTTACACTAACGGTTCTCAAAGAAAGATCATAAAATATAGCAATGGGGTTTCAAGCGTTTCCAGATAGTATGGGAAGAGTGCTGTTTAAAGATTTAGGAGGCTAGAATGGAGTAAAGTTCAAGAAAAAGGAGATGACTCCGTGCTTTTTGCAGTGCTGCAAGCTGAGATTCCATTTTTTAGCTCATGGGAAAAATTCTTCTAAGCAGTACAGTTATTCGAGTAGTATCATAAAGTTTATTAGAAAGGAGGCAGCAAAAAATAGCCCTCAAATGTGGAAATGCTAGTATAAGCAA